ATGGGGAATCCACTTGAGTTTGAATCCCATGACCTCAGCTAGTCCCCTGTGCCGGTTTCAGCACATTCCTCCCTCACAGGACTACATACTGAATGCACAGTAGGCGCTCAATAAATATTAGTTGGTCAGACACATCATCCTCTCTCTTTCTTCTGGGTCTTCACAAATGCAGGTTCTTCTGCTTGGAACATTTCTATACTCTCTCCTCATGTACCACTAGCTTGGTCTTCTGCGAGCCTCAACTTAGACCTTGTGTCATCAGAGAAAGCATTCTCTGACCACCCTGGGTTAGGTACCCCTCTTCTGGGCATCACAGCACTCTGAACATATCCCATCAGAGCAACGGAGTATGGTGGCCCACTTCCTGGACTAGACTTGGGTTCCCTGAGGGCAAAGCCCACAAATTAGTCATTTCTGCACCCTCATTGTCTAGAACTTAGTAGGCCTTCAAAGAATAAGTACTGGCTATCTTGCTAAATCAATGAGTTCTGTTTCCACTCCATTCATAACCATAATAAAGAGCTCTTGACAGAGCATCAAATCAAAACGTTCAACATTTTTTTCAAAGTACTATAGTCCTGTTTTAAAAACCAAGTCACTTGGGCCGGCCCGGTGGCGCACTGCTACAGTGTGCCACTTGGGAGTGTGGTGGCGCTCCTGCCGAGGGTTCGGATCCCACATACAGACCGGTTCCCGCTCATTGGCTGAGCGAGGTGCGGGTGTGACACTGAGGGTTGCGATCCTGTTGCCGGTCCCGGTCCGGTACGGGCGCGACACTGAGGGTTGCGATCTGTTGCTGGACACGAAAAAAGACAAAAAAAAAAAAAACCAAAACAAAACCCAAGTCACTTGCACAGTTTTTTTTTTTTTTAAACTGGTAAAGGGATCTTAAACCTTGACTTGGTGTTGTCATCACCACGCTCACCGGCCATTCCTATATGGGATCCGAACGCGTGGCCTTGGTGTTGGGTATCAGCACCACACTCTCCTGAGTGAGCCATGGGCCGGCCCATTTGCACAGTTTTGAACACTGACATTAACTGAAAAAAGAAATCCCCTGAGTAAACGGTGCCCTACAGTGAGAACACACTACCTACCCAGCCTGGGTCCCCACCACCTGCTCCCCCAAATTCTGTCAAGCTTAAGAGAGAATGGTTCTATGCCCAAGGGTTTTCTTTTTTTTTAAAAAAAAAGATGACCGGTAAGGGGATCTTAACCCTTGGCTTGGTGTTGTCAGCACCACGCTCACCCAGCGAGCCAACCAGCTATCCCTATATGGGATCTGAACCCGTGGCCTTGATGTTATCAGCACCACACTCTCCTGAGTGAGCCATGGGCTGGCCCACTTGCACAGTTTTGAACACTGACATCAACTGAAAAAAGAAATCCCCTGAGTAAACAGTGCCCTACAGTGAGAACACACTACCTACCCAGCCTGGGTCCCCACCACCTGCTCCCCCAAATTCTGTCAAGCTTAAGAGAGAATGGTTCTATGCCCAAGGGTTTTCTTTTTATTTTAAAAAAAGATGACCGGTAAGGGGATCTTAACCCTTGGCTTGGTGGTGTCAGCACCATGCTCACCCAGCGAGCCAACCGGCTATCCCTATATGGGATCTGAACCCGTGGCCTTGGTGTTATCAGCACCACACTCTCCCGAGTGAGCCACAGGCTGGCCCTGCCCAAGGGTTTTCTAGCTTAGTTTCATTTTGTGCTAGCAGCTGGCAGGTAAGAAAGCCATGATGATCAGGATGTTGTTTTATTAAAGCTTCAGGATCCTGAAAAGGGGAAGAGAGAGAGGCTTGTATTTCTATCTTCCCCAGGGTAGGGCTGCCCTTCCTATAAAGAGTAGAAACTTGGGGTCACCTGAATGACCTAAAATTTCACTTTCTCTTCTGACCTATCTTATTTCCAATTTTGTACACCTTCTCATTCTCAAAAAACATTTGATATGATTTTCATTATTTCTTCAGGGCTATGTCTATATTAAGGACTTTTCATTAAAAAGAGGCTTTCTAGTTGTATGATCTTGGGCAAATGCCTTTCAATCTTCTTGAGCCTCAGTTTCCTTATCTGTAAAAATGGGTATAACAATTACCAAACTGGATTATTGTGATTTAAAATTCTATAATATATGTGGAGAACTTAGTCCAATGCTTGCTGCACAGTAGGCATAAAGTAAATGAGAGCTGTTTTTACCCTAAGACTCAGAGAAAGGCTAAGTTCTCAGAGGGCTTTTAGGAAAAAAGGAAAGAGGACATCAGGGATTCTGGGAACCATATGGTAGATAATCTAGAATTCTGCAGAAGGGATAATGGCCATGAAGACCTCTGAAATTTCTAGAATGTTTGTAATTCTCCCATGTTTATAATTTTCTCCTGCAGTCTTACTTCATTTAGACTAGCAGTTCAATCCTTTTAATGAAAAAGGCCCAAATGTTTATTTAGGGGAACTCACTTTAGGAAGAAGGGAAAGAAACTAAGAGACAGGGGGAAATGGCTTAGTAGAGAACAGCTGGAATGTTTAGGAGCCAACAGGAATGAAATGAGGGACATTCAGAATGTTGTCATGAGAACAGGAGATTCCTGGAGGCCTCATTCTGAGGAGTTCTGCAACCCCTCAGATCTGAGCAGACTGCTCCTCATTCTCTCCTCCTGCTCCCAGAGCTCTGGCCCACAAACCTCACCAGTTTGGGGAATGCTCTGTTTGGACTATGGGTAGTTCCATGACCCTATCTGGTGTAACCTGACTGAGACAAGTCACCAGGATGTGTAAAGGACATCTGATTCCTTCTGTCACAATGTGGTTACCCTAAACCTCGTAAGACATGATTACGAAGAGAATCCCAGTCTCTGGCCTCAGTCCATACACAAACAAGCAAAGTAACCCGAATCTGGGTCAGAGGGAGAATTACTGCTTTCCTGATGATCTGTATCCACAGGACAGTGATTCTCAACCCTGGTCTGGGCAGCAGAGCCACCTGGAGAGCTTAAAAAAAAAAACAGATGCTCAAGACCATTCCAGACCTATTAAGTACTTCAGGGGTGGGGCCTAGGAATATGTAGTTTCTAAAAGTTCCACAGGTACTGAGCTGTAAAGCCAAAGCTAAGTACAATGCTTCGAGGAACTATCATGTTTTGAACTTCAAGGAAATTACTAGGGTTCCATAAGCGTAGAAAAGAGAAGCCGGTTCCCCCCCACCCCCCATCTGCAAAAAAATCAGTCTGTTCCAGCTTCCCTGGCTCTCCAAGAGAAGGGAATCAATCAGTAGGCAGCTGCATTCACCTGCCAAACCTTTCCAGGCCTTTCCTCAGGGTCCCTGAACATTTAAGATGCCTTCCTCATAACCAGAGTAGAATTCAATAAAAGGTGCACTTCTTACTGAAACTGGATTCAGATTGAACTGACATTTTGCGAGCACCTGGTTTGTGGCTGGTCCTGCACCAGACACATAAATTACAAGCCTGTGGGAGAAGCACTACATCGTTCCCATTTGTGGTGCATTCCCGGACCTGGAGGACTGCTCTTCAGAACTTTACCAGCTCATTATAGCACAGTCCTCAGGGAAATGTCTACCCAACATAATAATTTATTACCTACAAGCAACATACAATTTGGAGTTTATTGACTGATGTGTCTTCTCAATATTCTTTTCCATTGCTCTAATGATGGATGTGGCTAGGCTGAGTGCATGACCTTGACTTTATCTGAAGCTTATCCTCTCGGCCTGTCAAAACATCTCACCTGTATTTTAACCATTAAAATAATTCCACATTTGCTTATCCTTTGGAAAGCAATCAAACTATTTCCTGGGAATCAGAGTTGCAAACAAGGCACTGCAGGTGCTTTCTGATGGAGAACATTGCTGATTAGCATTATGAGCTATACCTGTATTCTTTCCATTTTTAAACATGATGAAACCGAGTCTCAGAGAACCTCAGTGACTGGCCAAACACACAGCTAGGACAAGATAGGACAAGGATTTGACCCCAGGTATTCTGATTCCCAGACCTGTGCTTTTGCCTTAGCTCCACTCCAGCAGCCCCACTAGCATTTTAAAATGGCTAGTTATTTATGTTCTGATTTATAATGGTTGACAATTCACACAGTTTTTATCAGCTACATGCAAACAACCACAAAAGAAACAAACAGACCAACAAACCATGAATTAAAATCCAACAGAATTTCAGGAGGAAGAGTAACCATTAAAGTAATGAGGGCTCAGAGAGGCTGAGTAACTCCTCCAAGATCAAACAGCTACTAAGAGGCTAAGCCTGTAGTTGACCTTGTCTGTGTGGCTCCAGAACAGCTCTTTTTAAGTAGGCTGAGGTGCATGTACATACGTGCAGTGGAGAGGAACTCACATGAGACAGGAGTCAGAAACCACGGATTCTAGTCCGTGCTCCAATCACTTATTACACTTATTAGCTACATCACTTCGGACAAGACCGTTGCCCTCTGTAAAATGGAAACAATGATCTAGAATCTACTTAATGAGAAGATCCAAATGGACGTAAACGTATCCTGGAAAACCCTCTCCAAAAAAATACAGAGGGTAAGAACGTAGACAGGTCAGTCGGTCAGAGGTATGTTCAGATTCCGAGTCTGCCATTTACTGGCCGTGTGACCTTGGAAAAGTGATTTTTATTTCTCTAATGCCTCAATTTCCTCACGTACAAAATGGGGACAAATCAAGTAATTGCCCCCAATCGTCGCTGTGACAATTAAATGAGAGCATTCATTTAAACAAAGGATTGTCTGACACACAATACCGGATCAATAAACGTCAGCCATTATTACCCTTTTGATTGTGCCTCTCGGGTCTTCGGCTACCTTGAAGCACGGACTTTCTATGCTACCAAACGGGTCCTGGGTTTCAGTTTCGGTCTTGCTATTCTCTGCCCCCTTCTTTGGACCCTGTCCCTCTCTTCTCAGTCCACAGCCCGTCTTAAACCCTTCCAGGAACCCCAATCCCCTTTCCCGGTTTCGGCGTCGTCTCTTACTCGACGACCTTGGCTGGATCCCCGTGGTGCCCATAGACCAGCGCCCAGACCCGGGAGGGCTCGGCGGATGAGGAGTAGGAGGAGGCAGCAGGCCCATGGCTGCTGGAAGCGGGGAGCAGCCCTCGCTGCAGCTGGGCCAGGGTTCTCGCCCCCCGAAGAGCGCTGCAGACCCACATGCTCCCTCTGGTCAGCACACAAAACCTGACGCCCTCATTGCGTCATCTTTCCGCGACCGCGCGCCTGCGCCCCGCCTCCCCCCGTTCCCCTGCCCCGCCCCGCCGCGTGACCACGCCCACGCTCCTTTAAAGGGACCGTCTCCTCCCTCCGCTGCCCACGCGATGGCGCCGCGCGGAACTGAATGGAGTGCTGTGGCTGGGCGGCTGAAGGACACGGAGGAGTTGTGAAGCTTCCGAGCCTGCCGAAACAGTTCTCCCAACAAGGAACGTCTGGGACTGGACTAAAGCTGTGTCTACAGCCTGCGGTTTGGTGTTTGACTTGAGGGAAATCATTTACCCTCCCCAGGCCTCAGTTTCCCCTTCTCCCCACCATTTACTGAGTACTCACTGTGTCAGGCTTTTTAAAGTATCATCTCATTTAATCCCTACTACCGTAGGCATAGGGCGGTAAAGCTTACTTCCCTGCACTGAGTAGAGCAGACACGGGGGCGGGAGTACTGGACTCGGAGTTAGGTTCAAATCCTAGTTCTGCCACTTCCCGGCTTGGCCACCTTGGGCAAGTAAAACTCCGAGATTGTTTTCTCATTGGAACAATGGGGATAATATGCCTCCTTCCAGATTGTTGTGAGGATTGTATGCAACAATAGAATACCATCGTGGACAGGAGAACACATTGTAAAAACGCTGTGTTTCGTTATAAAAGAGGAATCACAAGGAGGAGGGCCCCCTCTCAAAATGCTCATAGTGTAGACAGGGATTAAGTGGGACACTGGAAGTACTTTGTAAAAAGGTATAGCCCCGTAAAGATGCTAGATCTTATTCTTGGTGGTGGGAAGACATGAACATAACTAAAACCTCAGTCGAGGGTTAGTGCATTACAGAGTGCACTGCTGTAGTCTGCAGAAGAGAGGTGCTCCGGGGTGGGGATGGGGACTCTTGGAGGAGGTGCTGTTGGAGCCAGCTCCGTCACTCAAAATCTTCTGTGTGCATAAAAATCATCTGAGGTCCCATCTAGGACCTACTGAATTAGAATCTTGGAGAGGGAGTCTAGGAATCTACACCCTTACAAGCTCCCAAGAATATTTTGATGCAGGGCATCAAACACTGAGTCACTTATAGAGACACTGAGCCAGGGTTTTGAAGGATAAGTAAGAGTTCTTTCCCTGGATTTTACTGACCTGAAGCTTGAGGAAGAGAGTGCAGCAAAGTATTGTGATCAAGGGTGTGGGAGCTGGACTTGGGTAGATCTGGCTTTGAGTCCTGGCTCTGCCATTTTCCAGCTATTTGATTTTGGACAAGTCACTTGGCCTCTCTGTATCTCAATTTCCTTATACTTAAAATTGAGGGAATAATAGTTATCTGTTTCAAGGTTGTTGTGAGGATCAAGTGAGATATTATTCACTTGAAGCATTTAGCACAATGCTTGGCACATGGAAGCATTTGATAAATATTATCAGGGGTTATTGTGAAGATTAAATGAGAAATGTTACATGTAAAGCACTCATACTGGGGTCTGGTTCATAATACGTGCTAAATAAATGTCTGTGCTTGCTTTTGTTATTAGAAATATTTGGTGTTCCATGGTGGGGGAAAGACTTGGTCCTACATTATATACAAACACACACACACACGGGCACACACGGGCACATGATACCTAGTCCTGCTCACCTATTTTCATAGTGACACACAGGCTTACTCGTGCCAGGAGGTACAAAATAACCCTGCTGGAAGACTCTGTAGATGACATTGAGCTGTTAACATTATTTTCTCTACCAAATTGTCTCCTCTGAATCCTGGGCAGCCCAGCCAGGAAGTTTGGAGAATTATCCAGCAAATCTTCCTCCTAGAGGCTGGACTTTGTCCCCCTGTGCATCCCTATTGCCCTCATTTTTAGTCTAGGCCATTTGGGTTCCCCAGAGGCAAAGCCTGGGAACCACTGATTGAAGGGTTCAAGTCCAATTGTCCTGGCCTTGCATTCAAGACCCTTCATATTCTGACTCCCACCCTGTCTTTCTAGCTTTATCTTCTGTTGGACCGTGCACAGTCTATAATCCAACTGCACCTGATACTCACCTTTCCCAGCACTTCCTTTTCTTGTGGCTTTATTCAGGCTGCTCCTGCCTGAAATACTCTTCCCTGCCTCACCTGTCTGGGAAGCTCCAGGTTCAGATATTTCTTTGATGTTGTTTCGCAACCCTCTAGGTTGAGGGACCCGCTGCCACCTTTGTGTTTTTTCTCTGTGCAGGTGTATGACCTTTAGGACATGGTCTCTTAGTTATTTATATGCCCACTCCCCCTCCACGCAAGAGTGAGGCCATGTTTGGTTCATCTCCATGACGCTGACACTCAATATGGGGCCTGGCACAGGGTAGTTGTCATAAATATTCCATAAGGTGCAGGTAATTGAATTTCCTCGGGGCCTGGCACTGACTGTAGTGCTGTCTCCTTTTCCCTAGATTTGGGCAAGTCACTCCGGGCCAGGACTTTCTTTCTTCCTTCCTTCTGCTCTCAATGATTATAGACGTTTGTGGTCTTTTTAAAGTAAAGCAGAATGTTTTCTTTTCATCTGTCCACCTGTTGCTTGCACTGTCTTTCTCCCTCCAGAAGTCTCTGCCGTCTTCCCCCACACAAAAAGCAACGGACTGTGAAATAAGTCAGACCTGGGTTCAAGTTCCGGGCCCACCATTTACTAGCTCTGTGACCTCAGGCATGTGCCTTTCAGAGCTTCAGTTTCTACACCCATAAAATGGGATCAGTGTAAACTCCTGTCCTGAGGTGCCCTTGAGAGTCCTCTGCAAACAGTATCCTTGGTTGTTTCTTCTCTTCACCAGTTTTCTCTCCTTGAGTCTCCTTTTCCTGGTGGCCCTCTCTATCTCTTCCCCATCACTTTTTTCTTGCTTCTGCCTCTCTCCCTGTGACTCTCTCTCTGTTTAATTCTCTGCCTCTGGTTCTTGCCTGCTCTGTGTCTTTTGACCCCTTCCCCAAGTCAGCCTGGAGCTCATTAGCACTCACAAGAGAGGAGACCAAGAACCCAGGAACGCTCAGCTCTGCCTCCTCCAGCCTCATGATAGCTTCTGGGTGTGCCAACCTCAGTGTGGAGCCAGCTGGGAGTAGAAGCGGGGCACAGAGGGCCTAGATACACCTTGAACTCCTAGGCTCTGCCCAGTGTCACTGTCCACTAGTGAGACATATCTGCCCATGGGTCCCTCTGCTTGTACAGTCTTTTCTCCACTCAGCTGCCTGGGTGACTTTAAACAATCAGAGATCAGAACTTACTCTCCTGCTTAATGCTTCAATGGCTTCCCATTGCTCTTAGGCTTTAACCCAAATCCCCTTCCTTGCCCATAGCTTCTTGCATGACCTGCAGACCCTGCTGACCTCTCTAACTGCGCCTGATCTGGCTCCCTGCTCCTCCCCACTCACTCCATACCGGCTGCCCTGGCCTCCTTGCAGCTCCTCAAACCCACCAGCTCCTGCCTTTGCACAGGCTGTCCCCTTTGGCTGCAATCTTCCTCTCTGCTGATTTACATAAAGCTGGCTCCTTATACTTTAGGTCTCAGCTCAAATGTCATCAAGTCACTTCCTCAGCAAAACCCTCTTGGACCACCTTATCTAAAGCAGAAAACCCTCCCCTTATATTCCTTATCACAACAGTCCATCCATTTCCTTTAGAGTGCACATCTCAGATTGTAATTATGTATTTACATGTTTGCTGTTGGTCTATCCCACTAGAATGTAAGCTTCATGAAGGCAAGGACCATGTCTGCATTCATTTATTCATCATCCATTCATCCATTCCATATTTATTGAGCACCAACTACATGCCCGATACCAGGCACTGGGATACAAAACAAGGTCCTTCCCTAGGGGAGCTCACGTTCTAGAGGTGGAGACAAATAATGAACACGTCATTTACTAGTTACTCTGTTTACAACTGCAACAATCCCATTTTCCCTCACTGTTTTCCCCCCAAATTCTCTGGTGTATGAGACAGTGATAAGGGGTATACACCAGAGAATTGGCTTTTTCTTTTTTTAAATTTGTTTTTTATTGTTGTCTTCCCACTGGAATGTAAGCTCCATGAGGGTGAGGATTTTTGTCTATTTTACATCTCCACCCTGGCCTATAGCAATTGTTGAATAAATTAATCAGTATCTAGAAAGTATTTGTTGAATGAATGGGTTTCCAGACGGGAAGCAGGTCTCAGTCCCTATTCAGTTCAAGCCAGACAACCTTGATTCGAATCTTGGCGCTGCTGCATACTAATGCATAACCTTGGAACAGCCACTTTCTCTGTACTGCAATTTCCTCAACTGTGTAACGGGAATCTAGCATATATACCTAACAGGTGAAGATGAAATGAGTCCGTGTGGGTAAAGCACTTAGCAGGTGCCTGGTCAACTAGTTTGCAGATCACTCTTCAAGGGCTTGTACTGGGTAGTGGCCCAAATATACTTAACCTGTGTATTCAGAGGGTAACCTGTGTAGTGAGGGTTAGTGAGGGTTAGTCATGAAAAGGAAGAACTTTCTAAAAGCCAGCGTTTCCAAAGTCCCAGCAACCGCCCTTGTTAGGAGATGAGTGCCCTGTACTTGGAGGTATGTATGAATGCGCATTTGGAGGGGCCAAGGTGGAGGGGATTCAAGCATCAGGGACGGTGACCCAGGGACACCGTCCCCGAGAGCGCTGTGCGGGAGCTAGGAGCGGGCAATGCGCGCGCTCGCCTGAGAATGTTGGTGCCGGGTCTGTGCAGAGCCGGGTGGGTGTCCAGGTCGCCCCGCCGGGCCTCCCCTAGGGCCCGGGAGTGGGGGAGGGGCGCGCCTGGGCCCGCGGGTGGCCTGACCGGGGCAGCAGCGCGCGCCTCTGCCAGCAGGGGGCGCCGCGAGACCGCGGAACGCG